ACTCACTAAGAGAAGCAGATTGCAATTAGCGAAATACGAAAAACTCATTGTGAAGGATATTTGGAATAATTGTAGAAAGGAAAATAGAAAGTTGAATGTTAGGGAAGAGTTAGCAGGAAAAACAATTAATAGAAGAATCAGGGTGGGCAGAATTTCTTATTATGGTCATATCATCAGGAGAAAGCAATTACATCCTCTTAAACTGGCATATAAATTTAAATTTGAATGGAAAAAAGAGGGCAGACCTAGTTTTACGTGGAAAGATTCACTGAAGCAAGACTTCTCAAGATATAAAGGGATGAATGAAAGAGATTGGAAGTTACTAGCCAGTGATAGGGAAAAACTGAAGAAAAAAGCAGAGGAAATATAGTGGAAGTGAAATTTCCGATGGAGAAAGTGATGAGGAGTGAAAAGAATTGCTGTAGAAGAAAGAAAATGTGTAACAACAACAAGGAAAATGAGTAGGACTTGGTAAAAATGATTAAGAAGCGTTTGAGAATGGAAAAAAAAATATTATAAAGGAAGCTCCAGAAAACTGTAAAATAAGTAAAGCAACAATTCATCGTAATCAAAGGTAATTACACTGGTACAGGTAAATTAACTGAACTCAAAATAACCCTTTTTTGAATACATTTCATCAATCAAACATTATTATATGCTGGGTTTGGTGGGGGGGGGGGGGGGCAGCCTAAGGGTTTCAAAGGATTTGTAGACTGGACAAGGGTTCGTGGATTTGCCAGTCCCTTGTCACGTGTTGATAGACGTACATCTTGTCGTTTGTCTTCCAAAGGTCTTCAATGAAGTTGATTCACCCTGCTGCAACAAAACATCAGGCAGTAATCCTTGCACTGATGGTGAGTTCTATTCACATCACATCACAAGTGAGTGGAAGCAACGCTATCTAGTAATGTTCCTTTTTTTACGAGATGACTATCTATGTACTTATTGATGTTTAGTTTTAGTACTTTTCATGTTAAGTATATCATTGGGGCCTATAACGCCTGTCGATGTTTAGTCAAAAATAAATAAATAAATAAATTTGCATTTGCAAATGTCTAGTATATGAATTTAATTCGTTTGTCTTGTGTATATCTTTATGACTTTTTGTTTGTCTTGTCCTCCGTCTCGATGAGTCTCATCGTCACCCACTGGTCACCAAAGTTGGTCAAACTCCAGATTAATCTAGAACCACCCTACACAGCAAAAAAATAATTTTGATATCACGTCAAAGTGGATGCACTACAATCATGTCGAAAATATGGTGTAATATTACTTGCTAAAAAGGACAAAATTATCATTAATACAATGCATGAACTGACATTACGCTGCTTCTACTGCATTTGTTTATTTATGTGGTCATAAAAATTACATGAAATTTTCGACATGATTGTAGTGCATCCACTTTGATGTGATATCAAAATTATTTTTTTGCTGTGTACTGTTCATACTAGTGACATCCTTCTGATGAGACAACTAAACCTCACCCCCAAGCTCCTCCCCTTATCCTATGCTTCGGAAATGTACCGCTCTAACCGCGAGTTTTCGGCCAACTCCTACTAGACATAGAATTAAGTGAACAAACAATGAACAATGAATTATCGACTCGGTGAAGCTAACGCTTCATCCAAAAGGATGCACTTCAATCATGTCGAAAATCTCATGTAATTTTTATGGCCATAACAATAAACAAATGCAGTAAAAGCAGCGTAATGTCCGTTCATGCACTGTATTAATGATAATTTTGTCCTTTTTGGCAAGTAATATTACACCATATTTTCGACACGATTGAAGTGCATCCACTTTGATGTGATATTAAAATTATTATTTTTTGCTGTGTTCCAGTTCTGGCTGAAAATCTTCTAAATAAATATAACTAATTATTCCTACAAATTTTAAGAGGTTAATGAAACGTTAATAGCGTAATGTTTACTCATACTATGACCCCTTTTGAACAATACTGCATGCAATTCAAATTCCACATCAGCATAAAATAAATCGATTAATCGATTCAAGATATGAGGACAACAATGCAACACCAGCAATACGTCTCACTCCAAATTAATTCTTGGCTTGCTTTCGAATTCCACATGAAGTGAAACAAAAACATGTTTTCTGATATGACAAAAGTTGTTCCACCAACGATGGCTGACCCCATTGTTTAAGCACGGTGGAGACATCTACAATTTGTAAGTGGGTACGTGAAACTAAAGTGTTCTGTTTAGATAATCGAGAGATGAGAGTACATAACATCGGGGAAATTACAGGTACCCTTACTTATAACCTTAGATTGGTTTTCCCGGGGCATGGGAAAACTTTAGAAAATGAGCACCCGTCATTCCAACCTGTACATTGGACTATTTTTAACCTATGATTATCTTAAATAAATAAAATTAAGTTTAGATGGGTGTTTTTTGTATCACATACAATGATAGAATAGCCAAAGTTTGTATCGATTAACTCGATTTGTTTACATTAGGACCTTTTAAAAAGTTCCACGAAAACTGTTGTGTTCATATGCAGTGATGCCGAATTTTTAGAAAGAATTTGAATCAAATAATTGCAATCATTTAAATGAAAGGTTCTCACCATGGTATTTGTTGAGTTTTCTTTGTTAGATCATTAAACCACAAGCTGGTAAAATGCGATGAATTTGAATATTCCAAAATGTCGTGATCACTGCAGATCGCAGAACTGGTTGCAAGATCTTGAGGCGTTCTCCAACAGAAGCTTTCACAATTCATGTAAGGCTTGTACTCGAAAAAAATGCACCATTTTTATCCGTGTGTAACTTTTTTATCCGTGGGTAAAAATTGATGAAAATCTGGGTATAACTAGTTTGGAGTGAATTGTTTACATGTGCAAAATTGCATAACAATCGGCTCAATGGTTATTGAGATGTCATCGAAACAAGAAGAAAATCGCCGGAGATTTTTGCGCGCCGTCATGGAAAATCCGACTGCGACCATGAGATGGATCGGAAGACAACTGTGTCTCGGGTGGTAAAATCGTTTAAGGAGTCCCAGACGACCGAGCGGCGGGCTGGAAGTGGAAGAAAGTCGAAGGCAGCTGACCTTGTGAAGGCCCGAAAGGTGTTGGATTATTTCAAGCGTAATCCGAACCTTTCGATTCGCGACGCGGCTCTGAAGGCAAAGTGATTCGCCTGGTTCGTTCAGCAAACCATGAAACGAGCTGGGCTTCGTGTATTCAAGGTCCGGAAGGCACCGAACCGGCGTGATCAACAAAATACGGCGGCCAAATCCTGTGCAAGGAAGCTGTATCGAGAGTGGTTAAAGAAACCGATGAGTGTGGTTATCGACGACGAAACCTACATCAAGGCAGACGCAAAGCAGATACCGTTCTACGTTGCCAAATCACGGTTTGATGTTCCGGAAGACATAAGGAAGAAGAAAGTGGACAAATTCGCCAAAAAATAATATATTAGTTTACTTTGGCCATATGCCAATGCGCTAAACTAAGTAAACCGTACATCACAATGGGTACCATCAATAGCGAAATTTACCGCACCGAGTGCCTCCTGAAGCGTCTGTTGCCCTTCCTGCGGTCCCACGGAGACGAGACATTATTTTGGCCGGACCTGGTATCATGCCATTACGCGCGATCGACGTTGGATTGGTACAGAGACAATAACGTTGTTTTTGTACCAAAAATCGGAAACCCCCGAAATTCACCAGAGATTCGTCCGGTGGAAAGATTTTGGGCCATAATGAAGGCCAAAGTTCGAAAATCGTCCAAGGTGTTTAAGAACGAGCTGAAGTTGAAGAAAAAATGGATGAAAATGACCAAAAAGGTTGGCTCCACCATTGCACAAAATGTAATGAGGGGTCTTAAGGGAAAGGTGCGGGCTTTCAGCGATGGAAAGGAAATTGAATAAAGTAATTATGCCGAAACATAATCCATATGTATTAGTTCATTCCCTGAAAGTTTCAAGGAAATCCGACTTGAAATAATTTTTTGGCGAACACTTTTGTCTGGTGCATTTTTTTTTTTTCGAGTAGTTATTATGACGTTCCACTGTAATCGGCAATATTTGAGAAACCTTCAGATGATAATAACGAGGTGAGCGACTCTCTATCGCACTCCACGGATAATAAACACAATTCGTTACTCGAGAAAAGCATCTGAGGAAAAGTTTTCGGGCATTTTATCCCATGGGTGCATTTTGGCCTGTTCTCCCCAACGTTGTACACACCGATTATTCCCGTTGCTTATTTTTGGAAGTGCAGAACATTCGACGAACATGGCAACCATGACGATTGACTTTCGTAGTGGAAGCTGGTCGTGTGCTTCCGGGAAATACTAATCAAATCAAAAGCTCGACCCTGTGTTTGTGTGGATGCGTGTGCTGTATGGAGGTTGTTGCTCTGGGAGAGTGATTAGTCGGAAGCTGCTTGTTGGATTCTGATGCTATGAGTTAGTTGTTTGGTATGACGTGGGAGTAATTTGCAACCTGTTGCGAATGGGAGTAATTTTAAATCAGTATAATATTTATATGAGTAGAATGAACTCAATCATTAATCAAAACAAACAACCGCAAATATCAGTTGGTGAAAAGAAATAAAATCCATAAAACTTAAATCTCTTTTCATTATGAAACATCCATGTACTATTAACCGTCGTATGAAGCAATGAAGTGACCAATTTAATCATCATAAGTGGAGAAAAAACTTGAGCAAGGAAGCGCAAAAAGTAGGGCTCCCGCTTTATACCACGGGAAAACAATTACAATTATTGTCGTTTCATCTCGTTTTCTTGCATCTTCATCATCATACACATTATCATAATCACTATCCAGGTCATATTTGACGTAACAGCTCGCAGAAAGAGACACAAACAAACCCGTACCTGGCAGCAAAAGCAGCGAAAGAAAGTGTTGAACGGTGGCTTTTGTGCAAATTAAATTCACATTATCACGTCGATTGCGGAAAACGACATCGACGGCGACGGCGTCGACGATAATAAAAGTAACGTTTATGACTCACCTGTTTGTTTGACTGATCATCGCTCTCAGCGGCTACGTTGGTCTGGGAGGTGACTTTGGTCGACAGGAGCTTCACGGTGGACCCATTGTGCATTACACTGACATTGTTGGCATTGGTCGGTGAGGACAGATACCGCAGATCACTGGCCGTGGGAATTCCAGCCGTGGTCGTAGTGGCGTTGTTATCGGTAATACTGCTACCGCTGTGATTGCTGTTGGAAATGGTGTTACTGGTATAGTTGTTGAATGCCGTATGGGTGGTCCAGATCGGAGTCGACGATGTGGGATTATAGGGTTGCTTTCGGTGGGTCGCTCGGTCGATGGTTAGAGTTTGGCCCGGTTTGCCGAGCCCATTGCCAAGGACACCCTCTGCGGACTTTTTCCGTTCCGTCGTGAACGAAATTGTGCCATCGGAAAAGCGGTGGAATGTCAGGTTTTCATCCGACAGGAAGGACATGGATGTGACGCTCGATATCTGTGGGTAGGGGAGTGAAGGAGATAAAACAAAGATTAATTATTCAATTAAATTGGTTTTAGGACAGAGATTACTGGGAAGCAGAGCAGTTCCACACTAACCGACGAATCGATTTTTTTTTTCACTCTCCGAATTTCATGACACTTCTGTTCACCAAGAAACCAAGTTTGTACTGAAATTCGGCCGTTGTGGCTCACGCCGGGGTTTTTTTTTTGCAAATGCCATACAGTTTCCTACAACTTTGTCTCTGACGTCATTTCACTAAGATGAGTCGTTTTCGTGCCATGATTTATTGGCAAATATAAAATACGCCATTTTGAACTATTGGAATGAGTCGAAATGGCCGATCTTCAGTGCAAACTTGGTACATTGCCCCTAGCGAACAATTATGCAAAGTTTCATGGATTTCTGAGAGGTAAAATTTAAAATAAGATCATTTCTTAGCTATTTGGTCTGGGACTGCTGAACTTGAAGTTATACTTATTCGAATGCCACTATGGATTTGAAGAAGATTTTGTCCACATTTAAATGCGTGTATATATGGTCTTCAACTTTACGTGAACACGGATAAGCTTTTTTTGTAGCAACGAGGCCAAAAGCAAAGGTTAAACTTTGTTTTAAACACTGCACTATGGGCCAGAAGTGCAATCCAGCGGTACAAAAATAATAACTCCGAAACTAAGCTTTTCCGTGTCTTCTTAAAAGTCTGTGGCGTCGCATAGCCTCACTTTTTGCCTATGCACATACTTTCAAAACCAGATTTAATGTCATGTTCATATTCGAATCGGTTTAAAGTACACTTAATCTTCTAGTTTATTTATTTATTTATTTAATAATTTATTTTTTTTATCTTTTTTATTTATTTATTTGCTTATTTATTCATTTATTTATTTATTTATTTATTAATTAATTTATTTATTTATTTCGTCATCCAACGTAAACTAGTACATATTCGAATAAAGTTTTGTATTCTTAAATTTATTTATTTATTTATTTCGTCAACTTTGGAAAAGAGGTTAATAGTATAATTTTGTCTTTAATAAAAATTAAGCAGTGTCAGCTTTCCTATTTTTTATGAGTTATAATGCCTTATGGAGTAAAAATATTGTTTTAGTTTATGCCGAGACATTGTAAAGTCAATGGTTTCGCAGTATTGATTGTAGGAGGCCCTCATGCGGTTTAATGGCCCATATTTTGCATAATTTGTGCGATGACGTTTTATGGCAAATAAATTTCGATTTTGGAGTTGTCGGGTAGGTGCATGGAAATTTAATTTTGATAATAGTTCTGTGGAGTCAATGCGCTGCGAAACGATATCGTTTACAAATAAAACCATTGCATATTCACGACGCTCTTTTACACTGAAAATGTATTTTCGTTATTTTTATGAAAACCGTTTCGTAAAAATGAATATCGTACATACAACACATCTTTCATAAATGGTACGAAACATTCATTTTTCCTGTCATCTGGCGCGATGTCAATATTACGCCTTTTTCGTATAATACACAAATACATCTTCGTGGGGGCGACCCCGGCGTAGTGGTTAACATCCATACCTCTCACGCCAAAGTCACGAGTTCAAATCTCACCCCCGGACAAGTCACGAATGATCCTAACACTCTTGGTGTGTGACTATAATAAAAAAAAAAAAAAATACATCTTCGTACAATCAAAAACCAACAACTGCGCTTATTGTCTCCTAAAATGCTGATTGTGTGTTGGAGATGGGATATTACATGCAAGCTACCACAATAAATCAAATTCCTGGTCGCGGTGGTTTTATGTTGGAGAAAAAAATACATGCAAGCAGCAGAAAAAGCAAGCGAAATCGAATTACCGTTCTATGAGTGCTTCTTATTTGCATTTAGCTATACCATTTCTCGTAGCACAGATAGAGCGATGGATAAAGCACAGACCTGACAATCGCAAGGGTCATGAGTCGAGTCCGGTCTGAAGCCTGACTTTTATTTTTTTGTCATGTTTATTCCTTCCAATGATGATGTTATTTTTACCCATCCTCACTAACACATACCACAACCAACACTTGTTTCCACAACCAACACTTGTGGGCCCGCTGGTTGGGTGTAGCGATAGCGAGTGTGGCAGTTCTAACGAAACTAGCTTCATACAATGTACAAATCCATTTCGTTGCAGAAAACAACGAATAAATTCGTTGTACAAACGAAATTTTATTTTCAGTGTAGTGTTTGTATGTTTATAAGCAGGGGTTGAAACAGTTGACGTTTTTTACTACACTCGCTTCGTTGTCGTGCGCGACAGTCTGTTTGTATTCGAACACTCATGCTCTACCGTCGTCTCTCTCACACAACACGAGCGGTAGAATAACATTCGAGCTAAAAGAAAATTATCAAAATAGCTATCATATGACATGTGTGATTTCGTTGTAATTCCTCAATTTGGTGTAAATCAAACCATTTCTTATCAGAAATATTATTACTAGGACATCATTGCTTGCTATTTTCAGAATTCGGTCTTCGGCGACAGTGTCGTATGACAGAGCCTGTCATACGACATTTTAGTTTGGTACTGTACTATGATAGCTTGCTTTGCAAGTGTCGGAGGCAAAGGCAGTCAATTATCACAGAAAATGTGTCGACTACCGTGACCGCTTACAAGACTGTTTATAAGCATTCATATGATGATGTCCAACCTAATTTACGAAGAGCGTATAATAGAAATTGTTTTTGTATGGATTCTAATCTTTCTTCGTGCGTGATTGAAAAAGGAGACCATACAATGCTGCAATATTCCAGTATTGACCTCAAATAGGCAATATATAGTGTTTTAATTGTGTAAGGGTCCTGAAAGTTATAGAAAAAGCGCATGATAAAGCCTAGCATGTTATTTGCACTGTGAATAATTGTGTTGTAATGGTCTATGAAAGTTAGTTGAAAGTCTAAGATAATTCCTAAATCCCAAACTCTTTCATATTTTTCTACATTTTGATTTCCTAGTGCAATTGAAATATTTGAAGTTGTTCTTTTCCTGCTAGATGATATTAAGTTGCATTTTTTTTTTCATTTATTTCTAATAGACTTTTTTTGCACCATATGTAGAATATGTGTATTTCATTCCGGAATATATTGATGTCTTCTTCATTTCTTATTTCCAAAAAGAGCTTCATGTCATCGGCATAATAAGCAATTTAAGTTTTTTGAGAATGAAAGAAATGTCGTTTACGAAGAGGTTCCAAATGAGAGCCTTGGGGGACGCTTGAAGTGACCTGAATTGGACTGGATTTCCTTCCGTTGAATTTAATTATTTGTTGGCGGTTAGTTAAATATGATTAAAGCCATTTTAGGAGCCCTGACTAAATTCCAATTTTTGCAATTTAAAAAGTAGCATTGGTACGTCTATGCGGTCAAATGCCTTGCTAAAGTCTATATAGAGAGCTTCTACGTGATTTCCATTATCCATTGCATTCGATGAATAGTCTTTAAATTCAAGTAAATTTGTCGAGGTCGAGCAATCCTTGAAAAAACCGTGCTGCATGTCAGTAAGTCTATTTTTGATTTGGAGAAATAATTTTTCGCTGCCAATTGCCTCGAAAAGTTTAGGAATGCAAGAGATAATGGCTATTCCACGATAATTACGTACGTCAGCTTTCCGGCTAGATTTCAGAATAGATACGAAAAATTAGTTTTTCCATATTTTTGGGAAGCTTCCGAATTCCAGCGACATATTAAAAAGCCAAAACAATGGAGCAGTCAGTTCCATTGCTAGACATTTAATAAATACTGGAGGAATTCCGTCAGGTCCAGGACCTTTTGAGAAAAAATCCTGCACTTGAAGTTAATTGAGGCCAATGTCCTTTGAAAATTCTGGAAAAAATGCAAAATAATCGCGATCTTCTTCAAAAAATGTCGTATAGATTTCTTGAAAAAATTTTGCAAATAGATTGCAGTTTTTTTCCGAGCTATCACCGACATTTTCGTCGAGTTGCATTATTGAAGGAAAATTGTCAGATTTTAATTTGGTTTTTAAGTAATTAAAGAAGTTCTTTGGACAGGACTTTATTTCATGTTCTGTTTTTGCATTATATTCTTCAAATGCAGTACTGATAGCTAAATTCAGTTGATCGCATGTATCCAAATAAATTAATAAATTATTACTACTATTGTGTTTATTGTAAATTTTATGTGCTTTTTGCTTTCGATTTTTCAAGTTTTTTTTATTTGTCTGTTTAACCAGACTGGATTTTGTGTGTTTCTGTTGCGTCTTTTTTTTTTCTTCAAGGGAATTTCTTCCGAAATTATTTCTGTTAAAATTTTGTAGAACACGTCTATACCAATTTCGACATTTCCTACATTCCTTAAAATTAAAATTTATTTTTTCGTAGTCTGCTAATTTGTATTCAAAGACTTCTTTGCAGTCGTTGGGTCTTTGGTTTTCATGCACAAATAAAGAATATTCAATTGCTGTGTGAAACGCTTCATTTTTCCGAGGTGGATTTGAAGATTCGGTCACACAGAAATCTTCATAAATATTTGTTAGTATAAAGTCCAAATAGCAATTTTGTTGGTTTTTGATGTGATTAATTTGGTTCAGTCCTAAATTAGCAGTTTTGTTAAAAATGAACTGAAATGTTTCATTATCCCCAACGACTGGGAGTAAGATACATTCATTTTCAGAGTCCAGAATAAAGTGATTCAGAATTTTCCAAAGTGATTCACTACTTTCCGAAGTGAATCCAAACCTTTCTGAAGTGATTCATTACTTTCAGAAGTGATTGTTATTTTTTTTGAGTGATTTCACGATGTCATTTTGAACATTTTTAAACGGATTCACCTGCAGAACAATCATCAAATAATATATTGCCATTGGAATTGCTTTGAGCCATGAGCGCCATGAGCGTTGTTTTGCATTAAAATCGCCAATAATGAAGAATTTAGACCTATGACGGGTAAGTTTCTGCAGGTCACCATTGAGAAAATCTCTGTCTGCCTACGCATTGGAATGGCAAATAGGCAGCTATA